TTCCAAATTATCACATACACAATTGAACCAAAAAAGTGTAAAATACACCTTAAAAACGCATACTTCTTGGATTAATTCAATTATAATGAGGTGATAACTAACGAGATGGTTGCATAGCATTAATGACATAATCAACACAACAAACAGAGTGGTTGCATAGCATTAATGACATAATCAACACAACAAACAGAGTCTCACTAAAACCATAAATGTCATTTTAATAATTCTAGAAATAGAACCACTATAATCGCATACCTATGAGTGCTCTAACGATATTTGAAGTAAAGTTTAAATTTGAAATGAAGACAGTGAAGTTGTCGTCAGCAAATACGTACTGCCAAAAGACCTGATTTTCATCTCTTTGTATAAGACACCAAGAGATGATGGCGTTGGATGTAGATGATGCTCTCCCTATGTGTGGTGCATGCGAAGCAGAGGGATAGAATAACAAAGGAACATTCATGCAAGAAGTGTGGCAGTAATAATCAGGGAACATATTGATTATCATTAATATTGTACCAAAATTATTATATGCAATTAACTTTAGGGATTTGTTTCCAAATTATGACATGCACAATTGAATCGAAAAAAGTGCAAAAAAAAAAGACTCAAAAGGCCCACTTCTTGGATAATTTCAGTTCTAATAGGATGATAACTAACGAGATGGTTGCATAGCACTAACAACATAACAAATAGAATTTGAAGTCAAAACATTAAAACTTTAGATGTCATATTAATAATAGTAGAAATTGAACATAACACATACATCGAATGTGTGGTACTCACTAAGCAAATGGATGGAATAAACTAGTAATCTAGACATGCATGATTTAAGGTGTGAAACCAAGGAGAGAATAAAAGAGGGAATAATGGTTGTTTGTTAATAGGTGGTTTTCTGATATTGCATTATTTCAAATAAACTCATCGTGGCGGAGCTAGTTGAGATGGTTTGGGAGTAGATCAAACATGATTACCATGCCTAATCCATCTCAACATCCATCCAAAACTATTTCTAACAATAGCATTTCAAGAGATGATTTTTGTTGCCCATTAAATTCAAGACAATATTCCATTTAACAAAGTTTTATGGGAGACATATAATATTTCTCCACAACGATTATTTCCCAAAGTTCAAATCCTTGAGGGGATTCTACTCTCCATTGAGGAGCTCACAATGAGCCGGGTCTTTTCCAACCCTTCCATTGCAAGGTTGCACAAATGCACTCCATCTCTACTCGGGGTATCTGTTTTCTTGCGAGGGTGAGATTTTGCCTTCACAGACTTCTCCTTATAGCCAAACATGAATCGGTGGGTAGGGAGTGATGCCTAACCATCCAGAGTCCTCAATCTTCAAGAGTAACAAATCCTTGGAATCAAACCTAGTGCTGAAGATCTAAGAGAATAGCACAAAACTAGGTCTTCAATCCCAAATCCACACACAAATAATCGAAGCACGAAAGCCAAGAGAGATTTGAGAGAGTGAGTGAGAGCACGCCCATGCTCAAGATCCAAAGAACATTAGAACCAAGCTCTAACCAAAAGCAGGTTTGAGTGAATTGAATAACTAATCCAAGAAAAGGATAGGGCCAGTGTTTAAATAGGTGATCCCAAAATCTGGTTGTTGGGGAGGGGAGGGGAGGGGAGGGGGGATGTATTTTCTTCCCATCTTGGATATCCCGACTTCAAGGTCTAATATTCTGATATGTATTATATGTCTGCTAGCTAAGTCCAAATCCTAGATGTCTATAAAGAATATCGGATCGGATATTCCGATGTCACTATTGGACTTTCCAATGCAAGATTTTAATTAAGAGAGAGACTTGAGTTCAATGAAATATTGGGCATTCTGGTACATCGGATATTCTGATGGTAAAAGTTGAACCAACCAGAGAGTTGAGTTCCTTGCAACATTGGAGTTTCCAGAATGTCGAGCATTTTGATTGAACATTACAAGTTTTCGATCAAAAACATACAATCAAATATAGAACAAAGTTCTTTGACATTTCAGACAATCCAATCGATTGGATATTGCGATTGTTTTCAATGAAGTACAATTAGAGACTCGCGTTCAGTGAGATTTTGGAAGTTTTCGATGCGTCAAAAACTTGATTCTCAACACAAGAGTACATCTGAATTATTGTTGTGTAGCATCCCTCTTATTAGTATGGTCTCCTAGAGTCAAGAAAATGAGATGATTCAAGAATTACCATAGTTTATTGCCATCTTTTCTCAATCAAATAATGGGGACACCTTTGACCTTGCAAGCATTTAGATAGTTGCATTAGGAATTTCTAATTGTGTTATCGTTAATCAACAAATTTGGTGGGGAGGGGGTAGACGCACTTTCACTTTGGACCTATTTTTCTTACAGTGTACTCTCTCTTGTATACTAGAGTTTCATGTTGCAACCATTTTACCCTTTTCCTCGATGTCCGGCTTAGTAGTCCGACATGATTTACTCCATGACCTCGCTCCTCTTAGCTCATCACCATGTGGATTGAAACCAATGTTGAGGAAAAAGGGTCAAAGAGAGAAAAAGAAGTCCAAAGTAAAAAATCTTAAAGCCAAGACCATTCACAATGTTCCTACATGACATGTGGTCTCACCTAGCCATTTAGCACACTAGCAGGCATGGAGGAGACAGTAGGTGAGGGCCATGGCTTCATGAGGTTCCTTGTGTCATGCAGGAAGCACAACCGCGTTGCCTTGCAAAACGTCTGGCGTAGGGACCACTTGAGTGAGGAGACGAGTTGGGAGAAGCTGTCGCTCCACCCTGCATTGCTGCCGGCCCCCTCCCAAACCATTCATCGTCGAGGTTGTCGGCTTCGTGGGCCATCGGGGTAGCCGTCGCTGAGGACCAACCATGCTAGCGCCATGAGAAAATAGGTTGCCGAGTCCACCCGCCTAAGAAGATCCAGCACTGATGCTGTCATTCCAAGCAGGTCAATTGCCAATGCTTAGAACGAGGGTGTTCAAGACCACTAGCGAGGAGGAGAGCTTGACCGATGGCGACTAGGGGAGCTCAAGACCACTGGTGAGGAGCCCCTTGTCTCTCAACGTGTCACTACCATGCCCACCGGCCAGATATGTAACCATGGACAACGATGCCGGTGTGTCCCTATTGTCCTTACTCTCCCCTTCGCCCACACCATTTCCATCACCGGGCGGTCCTCAGCCATGCTCGAGACCATCGCTGCCCCCTGGCTTGAAGTGCAGCCATGAAGGAGAGGAGGGGCGCTAGGCAGGGAAAGAGGATAGGAGGGAGAGGACCCGGGTAGGGGGATAGGAGCGATGGTGGGAATAGGAGCTACATAGTTGTCACTCGATCTCAAGGACTGGATGAAGAAGTGCCGATCCAGTCGGCGGTGTGGAGAGCGGAGGAAGGAACGACGATTCTGTCAATGGCGCACTAGCATGGAGGGAGAGACAAATGGGGAAAATGATGTGTGGGTACAAGGGGATGAGGGTGAGGGGTAATATGTAATTTTTTTATGGATTGGAATAGATAACTTTAAATACGTTTGCAAATTAAAATTGAACATATTCGAATTCTAGGGGCCGATATGCAAATTATTTATGGATCCTAACAAGTGTAGCTTGCATTATGGACACATAGTATCTTTAGAGATGGTTTTATCTTAGGTGATGTTTGGAGACTCTTATAGGAACAATGCTTGACACACCAACGAGTTTTCCTAGCTGCTATATAGGCCCAAGCATCACATATAACTCAATAAAGCAAACTCAAATGGACCCAACTTTACTAAGAAAACACTGCGCGACCATACGGCTCACACGACGTGACGAGAGAACAACCCCGGCAATACGGACGCTGAGTGGTGTCCCACGGCTTGCTGCCCTACTCGCGTCATGGATCACGTGACTTTGAGCCCGACTCTCGGCATGGACTCGAATTTTTTTAACGTGTCATTTTGGGACAACGATGCCGGTGTGTCCCCATTGTCCTTACTCTCCCCTTCGCCCACACCATCTCCATCGCCGGGCGGTCCTCAGCCATGCTCGAGACCATCGCTGCCCCCTGGCTTGAAGTGTAGCCATGAAGGAGAGGAGGGGCGCTAGGCAGGGAAAGAGGATAGGAGGGAGAGGACCCGGGTAGGGGGATAGGAGCGATGGTGGGAATAGGAGCTACATAGTTGTCACTCGATCTCAAGGACTGGACGAAGAAGTGCCGATCCAGTCGGCGGTGTGGAGAGCGGAGGAAGGAACGACAATTCTGTCAATGGCGCACTAGCATGGAGGGAGAGACAAATGGGGAAAATGATGTGTGGGTACAAGGGGATGAGGGTGAGGGGTAATATGTAATTTTTTTTATGGATTGGAATAGATAACTTTAAATACGTTTGCAAATTAAAATTGAACATATTCGAATTCTAGGGGCCGATATGCAAATTATTTATGGATCCTAACAAGTGTAGCTTGCATTGTGGACACATAGTATCTTTAGAGATGGTTTTATCTTAGGTGATGTTTGGAGACTCTTATAGGAACAATGCTTGACACACCAACGAGTTTTCCTAGCTGCTATATAGGCCCAAACATCACATATAACTCAATAAAGCAAACTCAAATGGACCCAACTTTACTAAGAAAACACTGCGCGACCATACGGCTCACACGACGTGACGAGAGAACGACCCCGGCAACACGGACGCTGAGTGGTGTCCCACGACTTGCTGCCCTACTCGCGTGATGGATCACGTGACTTTGAGCCTGACTCTTGGCATGGACTCGAATTTTTTTAACGTGTCATTTTGGGACAATACTCCACGTACTCGCACTGAATGTCTAAAAAATACAAACAAAGTGAAAAAAATATTATGATGGTTACTTCACAAGTTAGAAAATTTTGCATGTTCTTTATTCGATCCAAAAGGGCCTGAAATCAGCTGAAAGCTGCTTTGCTAGGCTGGGCCGGAGGACGCACCTCACCTCACCTCACCTCGTCATCTCATCTGCGTGCGCTGCTGCCTCTCTCTCTCTCTCTCTCTCTCTCTCTCCCCGAAACCCCCAAAACCCAATCTCTCTCTAGGGTTAGGGTTTGTGCCCGCGCGCCACCTCCTCCCCTCCCCTCCGCCGCCGCCGCCCCGATGGCCGGAACGATCCACCCGTTCCACCAGCAGTGGCCGCCGGCGGCGGGCGCGCCCGCGCCGGCCGCCGCCGTCCCGCCGCCACCCCCCGTGCCGGGCGTCCCAGGCGCGCCCGACGCCGCCGCCGCAGCCGCCGCCGCCGCCGCCGCGGCGGCGGCGGCTGCCGCCCGCCCCGACGAGGTCCGCACCATCTTCATCACGGGGCTCCCCACCGACGTCAAGGAGCGGGAGCTCCACAACCTGCTCCGCTGGCTCCCCGGGTTCGAGGCCTCCCAGATCAACTTCAAGGGCGACCAGCCCATGGGGTTCGCGCTCTTCTCCTCCGCGCACCACGCCATCGCCGCCAAGGCCGCGCTGCAGGTGCTAGGGTTTTTTCTCTCTCTCTTTGGGGTCTCCATGGCGGGGTTGGTTATAGGGTTTGGGTGGATGGTGGTGTGACACGAGTTTCTCTCTGCAGGATCTCATCTTCGATGCGGAGACCAAGACGGCGCTGCACACCGAGATGGCCAAGAAGAACCTCTTCGTCAAGAGAGGTGCGTTCCCCTTTGTCGATGTGCGCTCGCTTTCGCTGTCATGTTGTGCAGATCAACCTGATAAATTTTTGGTTGGATGGAATTGGTCCATATAAATGTAGCCATGTTTGCGCATACTGCTTTGTATCATGGAAGCTTTCACCTTTTATCATTTATTATGAAGCTTGGCAGAGAATGGCAATGAATATGCAGTTCATTTCTTGTTGCATATTTTCTGAAGCTTATGTGTAATATTAGAATAATTCGATATGGGAAAGGTGGCCTGCTATTGGAGCTTTGATGTCTTCCTTTAAACTGTTTGGTAAACCTATGCAGGTCAGGACATTTAACCAATGTGTAGGTGAATTGGTGGTTTTCATATGGCTTCATAAAACTTTTACAGGATTTAGTTCTGTGTTGTGAGATAAGCACATTCAAGGCTATTATTGTTTTACCAAAGCTTTCTGTTGCCAAATTTTAATCTTTGAAAATGTTATTGTAGCATTTCATATAAGCTTTAGGAAATATGCAAATGAAATAAAGATGAACTAATGATTATAGAATTAGTGATTGTGATAAAATTACTATAACTTGATGAAGAAACCTGGTGACAATAATGTTCCACGTACTCCTTATATTGGGCTGTTGTTTATTTCCATTTACTCCATGAAATGGTTACTACACTGTTATGCATATCCATTATGCGCTGAATTAATTAAGGCTTATGTTAGGTGTGGGAAACGATGCAAATGCTATGGACCAAAGTAAACGCTTGCGGACTGGTGGAGATTATACTCATTCTCCTTATGCTGCTCCCCCATATCATCCACCCCCACCAGCTGTTTCCATGTGGGGAACTCCAGGGTAAATTTCTTAATTTGTTGCTCTTTCTTTCAACTAATTATGCACAGCTATGGAGCTCTATAATCCTTTTTTTCTTTTGTGTATCATTCAGTTATATCGCGGCACCTCCACCTTACAATCATTATGCTGCCTATTCAGTGCCTCCTGTGGCAATGACTTCACCTTCTCCCGTACCAGGTCCAACTGCCTATGCTCCTGTTCAGGTACTTCGGAGTTATGTTATATATCTCACCTTGGTTTTGAGCTTAATCTTAGGAAAGTTAAATATTATTTCCTGATTAAATTTGACACAGGTCATTGGATAGCTCCGTTGTGTGCACATCATCTCTATTTCTTTGTATTAACTGTTATGTAAGATATAATATGATGAATTCATATTTGCTTATATAGAGAAGTCTAAATCTATGGCCCCTGCACTTTACAACCTGTGACGAAACCACTTGAATAACATCATTCAAAGACAACCTCTTCCTTTTTTTCATCCACTTGAATATAATTGAACTATGAACATTGATAAAAATAAACTAGACTCTGTTGCCTTTACCTATCCTCTATAACTTCTCAAGTTCCTCCCTAAAAAATAACCAGGTAATATGTGCACAAATGTGTGAGTACATAAAGTCTTGTTTGCAAAGATGCTTGTGGTGTTTTTCATTGAACATAATGCTTGTCATGATTTTGGTTAATAAATTGTAATGCTATTAAAAATAAGAGGTGGTTGCTGCATTGCTGATGCAGAATACATTGTTTGGGGTCAATATTTTGACTGCTTTATACTGTTCAGTTTTCTGAAATCTAGTATTAATGGTATATTTTGATTTCTCTTTTTCAGAATACAAAGGATAACCCTCCCTGTAATACCCTTTTCATTGGTAATCTTGGAGAAACTGTTATTGAAGAGGAATTGCGGAGCCTCTTCAGCGTGTAAGAATCGACGCCAATATCGTTGTCTATTGTGTGCAGTGGTGTTGCATGGTATGGTTCTAGAAAGTAGATACAACAGTTCTAACTGATTATTATTCATTTTCCTTTCAGGCAACCTGGTTATAAACAAATGAAGGTGTTGCGCCAAGACAGGAACACTGTTTGTTTCATTGAGTTTGAGGTAGGTACTTACAATATTGTAATTTTATCTTAACCTTATCCTACATTCTTATGCATCTCACTGTTTGTTAAATTTTAGGATGTGAATGCTGCATCAGCTGTACACCATAATCTACAGGGTGCTGTTATTCCTAGCTCTGGTCGTGGTGGAATGCGAATTCAATATCCTTTATTTGCTCAATGAAATAAAATAATCACTTACATTAACATTAGATATTTATGTTTCCTTTGCTAATTTTATATGGTTTGTAAGTCCTTAACGTCTTGAACATTTTCGAAAAATCCCTATGGCCGAAGGAAGGATTCTGTTGGTGGAATTGGGGGCTCTCTAAATGGAGCTCCTTCAAACTGAGAGGGGATGTAACTTGAACTTTAGCATCCTACTAAATTATCATCTGCATATTTTCTTCTAAATGCTTGTTTCTGTCATGTGGCATCACCATCTCCATTAGGTTGAATTTCTGGCCATGATCATCTTCTTTACATGGAGTTTCTTGGACATGATCATCATCTTTATTAGGTGGAGTTTCTGGGACATGATCATCATCTGATAGACTTTGCATTGTTACCATTATCATCGCTGGTGGTGTGGAATCCTTTATTTTCTATATGTAGTTTGAGAAGCACATTTCGAGCATCTTGTAGATGTGCATTTGCCGCTTGTCATGGATATTCTGCAGTATTCTGTAGTTTTCTTGTGTTTAGTTGCTACATCTCATGTGTCCATGTCATTGTCACTTTGCAAACAGGACATTCTGTAATAGTATAACTGAGTTTTCTTACTAGAAGTTTGATACTGTGGCATAATGGGACTAGAAGTTTGATACTGTGGCATAATGGGGGTGATTCATACAATCATGTCATGGCATGTTCATCAGGGAAGGACAGTTGATAGACATCATGGCATGGCATACTCATTTAAGGAAACCTGGAGCATTGTGTTCACAGCACGAAGCATGCAACTATCAATTGCTGTTGAAGCATGCAACTATCAATTGCTGTTTTAACTTAATTCTTTCAGTACTCAGTATCCAATCAGAGAGTAGCTAACATATTGACAATAAAATAGAAATAGCTGCAAAGCCCTTTTGTTTTTCTGTAGCAGATGATGAATGATCTTGAGTGGCATTCGTTTGGTATAAGAGAAGCTCGTGGATGCAGAGGAAAGGTAAGCTGCTCTTCAGAGGTATGAAGTAAAAGATAGTCAGGTTTACATTGCCATGAGGCGGCTGCTGGAGGTACTACGTCACTTCAACTTCAACTTGTAACAGTTCATTCAAAGCTCAGACAAACCAATGAAAACAATGTTAGTGCTGAGAACGTGTTCCCAATGGAATGGGAAAGTGATGATCAATTCTTTGTTTCTGGGGATATGAATACGGTTGCTTGGTTGATAAATTGGATTGAGTTTAATACGCAGGCCTGATTAAAATCTTCAGAAATTTCATTGGGTTTGGACAAATTTTGTAGGAACCACACAGTGCGGGGAAGCATTACTGTATGGCATTGTTATATGGGTTGGTGCTCGAGTGCCAAATTTCTCGGTATATAAAGAGGACGGTCTAACCTTTATGGTGTGTTCGGATACGGGAGTTGGGAATCTATCTTCCCGCACGGAAAACGGAGCGGTCCATTAACTTTCAATTTTAGTCAAACTTCTAATTTTGGCGTGGAATTAAACATAGCTTTGGCTATGGATAAATCTGCGGACTTCACAAAATTTGCATTAAATTTGCACTAAATTAGAATTTAAGTTTGATGGATTGAGTCACTTATACTTGAACTGACAACTTCCCTGTGCCCCTATCCTTCTCGCGATATAGAAGGGATGGTTGAAAGCTCGAACAACGCCTATAGTTGATGTGATGCAATCCTTGAGCTATATCTACACAATGTGACCCCAAAACAGTGCTCATTTTCTTGGAAAACAAAAACGTGGCATAAAGTCCGGATGTTCTTTTTTTTTTCCCTGTACATTTAGTAAAAAAAAATGCATGTAGCAATTACTTCATGCAGTGTTAATTGAGAACTTGGATCAAAGCACAGGGGTATATGGCTGCGTCCCCTGCAAAAATATCATATCCTCAAAACTTCATATACAGTGAGATAGTTAAGAATAGTCAGGGTTAAGTCTGGCTTCCAAGTTGGAATCCAGCTTGGAAAATTTTTCCTTGGCAGCTCTAGCAAAGGTCAGGGCAAAGAAATCTGGGGCTGGCTCTCCTGTTGTTACTAACGATCCCCACCATTGATGATTAGAGATGGGTAAGGGACCTTCTTGATATCGACGAACGTCGAGTACTCGTGGTCCAATGGTTGCTTCCATGGCTCCCCATCCATTTGCATGTATGCATCCCTCCATTGCCCACCTTTGATCTCCAATCGTATTGCTGCTGCCTGAAAACAGTAGGTAGCGTCGCTTAAATAATTTTGAGGATATCAGTGTCGAATGCCATCTGGAGTTGTAATTTGCAAAGTAGCTGTTTATCTAAACTGATGATGCCTTTTCCTGTTGAACTAAGTTGTAATACTTCTTTTTTTTTTTTACCTAATGTGATGTTTGTTCACAGGTGACATAGCGAAAAATTTACTACTACATTTTTAACCTTTGAGCTCCAAATTGAACAGTAATGCATTAAAATACCTTCTGCTATTCAGATCTTGTGCAGGGAGCAAAAGTACCTGAGCTATGTGCTTTGCAGATATTAGTTCAACCATCACAAGGGATGCATGCCACCCTTGCTTCAATCCAAATATTTCAAGAAGACCATCGTCTGATTGAGCTTCGACAAATCCTCTCTGTTTACATAAAAAAGATAGAAGTTCTCTTGATGATATTCCAGTTAAGAAAAATAGCATGCTTTTTAGTATTTGCGAGGAAGTTCAGGCTATTGTGCTTTTCCAATAAAGCAATCATAAAAATGACAAGCAATTTACTCAGCACACCTTTTCCAAGTATTCAGGCTTCAAGTTTCCCCATGGATTCCTTCCACTTGCATAATTGTGAAGGTTTAATGCAACAATAGCCCTGACACTGAAGTACAACATGGCTGCTCAATATAAACTGTATCCTCTATACTTGTGCCAAGAATAATTTCTAGTTCAGCCGTGAGACTTCATTACTTAGTGTGCCCATATATAATAGTATCAGAACTACTAAAGTAATCTGTTTATAATAGTATTCTGCAGAGTTCAAACTGGAGAACAGTGACTTATGCAAGGATCATTATTGTTTCTGAATTTCAGATCTGGAACTAAAATCATATAACAATAACAAATAGGAAAGAAAAACTTCAACTTGCCTTGATGGTACAGGGATGTTCTCCCACTCAGAGCTGTCCAACTTCTTTATTGATAAACGAATAATGTTCGTCAATCCCCTGATATATGAAATGAGAATCAAAATAAGAGCCTTTTTCCTGTCTCTGCCATTCTAATCTCAGTTTTGCAAATCAGTATCTGGAAGACGATAACAGAAAAGAAACATTTCATATCTATGTATAAATACAACCTTGATGAGTTTGGACAGAATGAAAAAAAAGTAAATACAATTAGAGAAAGTTATAAGTTTTCATAAATATCATTAGAACATTACAAATTGATACAACATAATCAATTAACCATGATTGGCACTTGGTCAAAAGAAAAACTTGAGTATATTTGCTCTTTGTAAGGAAAACACATTGTCATCGGATCATTTCTTCCCCAAAAAAGGTATAGAGCAGAAAACACTAAAATAATCAAATGATGGATGGACTTTCCAGATTTCTAGATATCAGTCAAACATAAGTATGCCTTAAACTAAATCGAGGGGGGATACAGCACCTCAGTTCAGGGTCGCTGACACATTGTGTAAAAAACCATCCCTGCTTGCAGGTATACCCTGCGTAAATTAACTGTCATAAAATCAGCCAATCAGTAATTTAGTTAGCAAAAAATTCACTGTTGAAATATTATTTATCATATTCATCAACAGAACAGAAGGCTTATCATGACAAAGTTCAAACGTCAATTATGTACCCGATCAACTGACAATTAGAACTTATAAGAACCATCATTCAATAAATAACGTGCTTCAACCCATGTATCAAACCCTATTTGATGTATATATGTTTACAGTGAGAATATGTGGAAGCCTATGTTACTTACATCAGATCAAAATTAATAGCTTGCGAGTTGCGATAAGTGTTGAAAAAGGTAATGTCATGTGCGGCCAGACCTACGGCCGGCATGTGGAAGTCAGAAGCAGCACACCACGTTCCAATTACATCCCAATTGAAACCCTTTGCTTAGGATTGAAGCCATTTAATGTATCATCCATGATATATTTATATTTATTATGGTTCATTGTCTTTGTACTTAAAATTTTATTTATTAGGGCCTCTCATTTAGGGCGATGCTCCTATTCAATAGTTTAAAGAAAAGGAAAAAGTTATCCAATCTCCTATTCCCCTGTGTCCCTTGCCAGTCTCCTATACGCCCCTCCTGCACGGACATTCTTCTTGTTAATCAGTCACAGACTCACAGTACAAGCTGGTCTTGTCAGGAATTGCTTTTAGCTAGCAGAAAATACACTGGATACCCAAAAGAAAACAATTCATTAATATAATGGGCCCACTGTTCTTCAGCTGTCCTCCCCTTATCTTTTCTTTTAAATAATTTGTACCATTTAACATTGCGTCTATAGACGGCAATCTTGATCCCATTCAAGGGTCAACTTTATGATTATACAAAGAACAGGAGACAGATAATGAGCACATGCTAATTCAATATCAGGAGTTTGGGCTGAGAAGCTTTTGAATTGCCATAAATGATGGAAATCTCATCCCTGAGTGCATACCTTATTAGATAAAGGACCACTAGCAAGGAATGGCTTTTCATCCCGTAGATGGTGAAATCCATACGCCACTTGAGCATCCATACCTGCATTACAACAGAATTTGCATCCTCAAGGTCCCTTCAGAACATATGTAATATGCATATTGAAAATGACAACATATAGTAACAACAAAGAAAGCCACACCGTAGATAACTTCTATGGTAGCTTTCTCTGACACTGATAATGAATGTAAGGGGTGACAAATAACTGAGATATAATTCATCTCATTATTCCAATTGTAGTGCTACAATGTGCATTAATTTTGTTTATTATAGAACCAAAATAAGCATAAAGAACATCACAACAAACAATACAAACATACATCGTAGATTAAAAACTTTATGAGAATGTAATAACCAAAGGAGAATTTTTCGAACACCTAGTTACAAGGTTATTAGCATAAGTGACAAAGCACAATGGTCTTGAAGATACTTTCCCTTGATGAGATGCATCATATGAAACCATAATAGATGCTTAGAAATGTAGAATATGACAATACAAATTATTTATGTGTGGCCAAGAGTATATCTAGGACTTTGGAATACACTATAAACACACTATTGAATAATGAACACAACTATAAGTTATCATGTAAAAATTGTACCTATGCTGAAGTAATTATAGAATACGCCATCAAAGCAAGAAACTGTTTCAGGCAACTCCCCTTCAGCAGTGCCGTCCTGCAGGGTAGACTTGTATTAATCAAGCAGAATGCATTTGTACAACACTTGAAGAAGATAGTATAAAAATAATTGCTCCTCTAGTCATAAATATTTGGCATTTAGGAAAATATATGGTTAAAAGTTTTAAAATTTGACCATCTATAATATATATAATGCTTAGTTTAAAACCAAAATATGATATCATAGATTTGCCTTGAAAAATACTATCATAATATCATAAACTTATTCTCATAAAATTAATGGTCAAAGTTTCACAAGTTTTACCAAATCTTATCGTGCATGTCATATTTATGACCAGAGGGAGTACGATATAAAATGTACACGGGGTAGACTTCCAATGCATTTGTACAACATTTCAATATATAAGATAGTAGAAAATAATTACATCATAAAAGGTACACTCTCCAAGATTCCTAAGGGAGTGAGGAAAATCCAGTTCTTCCTCTTCATCTCCTCGTTCTGGCATAGAAACAACAATATGCCAACTGCAGAAATAACTAATTAATCAGCAACTGGAAGTGGTTATACTGGGGACGTGAGTATTACATGTTGAAGGAGGAACTTGGTCATAAATGCAGAAATATTGGGACAATACGCTGAATAAACAAGTACTAACGCGTAATTAGAAAAAAAGGTAATGGTCCGATGTATGTTTGGGATCATGTTAGTGTCTAAAATTACATATATTTGGAAATAGAGGAGTACATTGCTGGGACCATGGTATTGCGAAAAAGTGATACCTATGCGGACTTAACCAGCTCAAATAAGGTTTCTTAACATAACAAAAATACTGATGTATCATCATCAAACTGCAACCAGAATGCACAGAAGATTAAAATAACTGGCCAACAAAGTAAAGAAGTCACCTGTCTAAACAAGAAACTGAACCAAAAATAGCTTTGTACAGAGATCGTTTAGCAGCTGCTTTCCATCCGAAAGGAAATGAAGCACCCTGAAAATAACTGTGAGGTCATGAAAACTTGCAGTAAGTAGCTTCATAGGAAGACGGAAAGAGTGCAAGAAAGAGATCGTTTTACCCAGCCAAAACTCCTGGAAAGATCATTTCCTGTCCCAAGTGGTATAACAGCAACTGGAGGAATTGGTTCCCTGTTCTGAACATAAAGGTCTCCTAAACATCCCAACACCCAACCTACTGTACCATCACCTCCTGCAACCTAGGTAGGTTACAAACTGTAAGTATTTAGAATTCTGAAACTTTTGGAATATGAGAACGGTTCTGCTGACTAGTACAGGTTTTCCATCATACGAAAGAACAAAAATAAAAACATTTTTACAATTTAGTACCTTTGTGAAACTACAACAATGACAAAAATAAGAGATGATGTGATTAGTATTCAGCAACTCAGGAAAAACACAGAATAATAATGATGTGTTCTTTACAGCTATGGAAGCTACGAAAATGCATACATACCATGACTCTTAGATTATGGCGAATGGACTTTGCACTGTGATCACCAGCGTCAGCAAGTTGTTCCAAGCAACCCAAAACATATTGCACAAAGTCAGAAGGCTTCACAACAGTAAGATCAAAAACCTGCTGACAAAAGGTTGTTAATAACAAAGCAGTTATTCCTTAATCATTTTAATTTTTCAAGAACAGCAGTCCCAATAATTGAAGATATTGTATGATGCTCAAACTTTATTTAACAGAACAAGAATAGGAAAGCAAGTGATTTGGCGTGCTCAAACTTTCTTTAACAGAGCAAGTATCTATAGGAAATCAAGTGATTTGGGTTGAGGTGTCCAATTGACCCATTTTAGTTCTTTTGCAGAAATAATTCAAGGGCATTTAACCGAAGCAGAGCAACAATTTAGTTGGAACTGAACCATCAATAAAGTGGGATTTGGTCAATTAGCCGGTACAGTTACCTACTTCAATATTTATTTATGGCCAGTGATGAATTTGTAGTTTAAGCGATATCCTACCATTCTGCATTTTCATATATGTTTTTAGTGTAGTTAACTAAAAATGATTATATTTGCTTACAAGAATGGATGTTAAATGACAGTAAATAAAAGTGTATGAAGTAAAGCCAATTCAGACTAGTATGAGATAAACTAATTTAGTGAAAGTTCAGAGCATATCAGAAAAGGCTAAAGCAATGCATTTGTTTTGCATGGGACTATGGATCATCAGAATCTTTCCAGCATTTGCGTAAGTTGAGGACTACGACTAACTATTACACTTTTCCTTGGTTGGAAAACTGTTGGACATGAAAGTATTCCATGCACTCATTATGCTTATGTGCCCTGCATCGTATCCAAATTTCTCATGCCAACACAAGTAAATTAACTGTTCTACTCTATTCCATAGGGTTCAACCATGTGTTTCCCTAGCATTTCGTATTCGATATCAACCCATATTTTGTTTGTAGTGCTATTTTGTATAAGCGTGATAACAATGGAACAATAGCATATCTAGACTAATGTACCAGATTCATACATCATGATAGATTTAAAAAATGCAGTATGCTTGGTTCACAATTGGATTTGGCATGCTACCAGTGCAGAATTATATTATTGTTCTGGAACAATCACCTCAATACCAAAGATGAACAATAATATCCATGGAAATTAGCTTAGTGGCAGCCTGACTACATATGCAGATTAGAACTAGCAGGGAGTTTTATTCCTTAATCACCTTGACATTCTTCATTCATGACCCCTGATGTATACTTCAAGATGAAAGAGATTTTTTTTTTTCATTTGGTGACTGAACTACTTCATGAATCAAGTACTGATGTTATTCTACAGATCTGTTAATTACTACCAATAGTCCTTGCACGAACAACTGCCATCTTTGAACAAATGGAATCGTGTTCGATCTCTAACAATAATTTCTCTACCATATACTTTAGATATAAGTTTGGTGACATGATGGCAATCATGGCAAACTCTGAGGTTCTTGACTATCCGAATGGGCATATCATCACTTGTGTTAATCAAAGCAAATGCAATTGCCATCTTCTCACTATGACGGCTGAGTGCATTTTCCTTCTCTTCTTCTTCAATATCAAGCAGAACTTCCTTCTTATCAGGCACATAACCTTCCTCCAACCTTATCCTACTATCAATCTCATCCCATTTAGACAAAATCTCTTCTATAAAAGGATGGGACAGATCTCCAACAATGAATTGGTGAATAACTCCTTTAATCTCCACAGTGCTGCATCCTGGTGTCTTATCAACTCCCTTCTCACGCATTAGGTGCCTAATTTCCCTTGCAGAAGCATGCCTACCAGAGGCAGCATATATGTTACCCAGAAGCACATAAGCGCCACTTTTATCAGGCTCCAGTTCAATCCAATGCTTGACAACATACTCAGCCAACTCAACATTCTTATGAAACCTACAGCCAGCCATCAAAGCACCCCAGATCAAGGCATCAGGTTTCATGGGCATTTTCTCAACCATCTCTCTGGCTTCGTTGAGCAAGCCATTTCGTGCCAGAAGGTCCACCATGCATCCATAATGCTCGATCTTCGGTTTGATACCATACTTCCTCACCATAGAATCAAAAAGCTCCCGCCCCTTGTCAACCAACCCAGTGTGTGTGCATGCGCACAATGCACCAATGAAGGCAATGTCATCTGGCTTCACACCTAATCTCTCCATCTGGGAGAATAACTCCAATGCCTCCGATCCTCGACCATGCATTGCCAGGCCTTTTATCATAGTGGTCCAAGCCAGCACATTCTTTTCCTTCATCACCTTGAACACCTCCATGGCGAGCTGCATCTCACCACATTTGGCATACATGTCAACTAATGCAGTGCCCAAAAACACGGTGATCCTAATGTTATTTGCCTTGAGGTAACCATGTACCCATTTGCCCTGCTCCAGCACGCCAAGCTGCGCGCATGCCGCGAGCACACCGACAAGGACCGTGTCATCCGGGCGGACACCATCGGCCTGCATCCGTGCGAACAACCCCAGCGCCTCCCTCCCGTCCCCAGCCTGCACGTAGCCATTCACCATGGCGCTCCACGACACAGCATTCCTCGCAGGCATTTCGTCGAACAGCGCGCGGGCGTCGGTGACCCGGCCGGCCCTCGCGTAGGCCGTGATGAGCGTGTTGAACGTGGAGGCGTCGACGGAAGCCGCGGTGCGAAGCAGCACGAGGGCGTCGGAGAGCCGGCCGAGGATGCCCGCGTGGACGCGGATGAGCGCGTTGCTCACGAGGAGGAACCCCGCGAGGCCGAGCTTGACGGCGTGGGCGTGGACGGCGAGCGCGAGGCCCCGCGCGCCGGGGACGGCGGGGGAGAGCGCGAGCGACTTGAGGAGGGAGGGGAGGGTGTGCGGGGTGGGGTGGTGGCCCGCGCGGAGGAGGTGCGCGTAGAGCGGGAGCGCGAGGTGCGGGCGCGCGGACCCCGCGAGCGCCCGGATGAGCGCGTTGTGGAGGTCGGCACTCCGCCGCAGCCACCCCGACGTGACCAGCGCCGCCTGGATCCGCGCGACCGCGCGCGCGTCGCCGCCGCACCGCGACAGCAGATCGACGTAACGCCCGACGCCGACCATCTCATCACCTCACGTCGTGCTCTCCAACCGCTCGACAAAATGCCTCACCCGCACATCATGCCACGCAACAAAATATATGAGAGAGAGAGAGAGAGAGAGAGAGAGAGAGAGAGAGAGAGAGAGGAGGTGTTGACCTGGTCTTCGCCGATGAGCTCCTGGAGGCGGGTTTTGAGGACGGGGCCGAGGCGGCCGCCGCTGCGGGGGTTGACGAACGCGACGAGGGGGGACTCGGGGGCGTCGTCGTGGGCGACCTCGAACCACGGGTTGGCCGCCGACACCTCGCGGCCGCCGCCGCTGCCGCCGCCTCCTCGCCCACCCCGGGCAGCCGCGTTGCCGGCGACGTAGGCGAACGCCCCCGCGGAGGGGTCCTTGGCACGCAGCGCCGCGTGGACCGCGGCCCGGAGCCGCTGCGGCAGCGCGGCGCGGGCGCGGAGGTCCTCCTTCTCGAACGCGGAGACGGCGGCGCGGCCGAACCCGCAGCTCCGGAACGAGAGCGACTCGATCAGGCCCCCCACGAGCGGCTGCGGGGGAGGCGTCGACGACCGCGGCGGCGACGACGACGACCACACCTGGTCCCCGCGCGGCTGCTCCGACGCCGACGACGACATGGACGCCGCGTCCGAGCACGACCGCGACCGCGCCCGCGATCGCGATCGGAGGTAGGACGCCGGGGAAGACGTCTTGGGAGGTGGGGGGGATCGCCGGGTGGGGCGGAGGAGGGAGGAGGGGAGGAGGAGGAGGTGGTGGTGGAGGAGGAGTTTTGTAAGGTTTTTTTTTTTTCTCTTTTTGACGCGGGAGGGAGGAGGACGAAGCGCTCCTCATCGACATGCAGCGCAACGAGAGGAGTAACAACGAAATTTGGAGCAGGACAGCTGGACGTACATCAGAGATGAGCACACATGCGAATCGAGTGAATGTAACCATCGTTGTTTTGAAGATAGTTGTAGGCACACTTTTCACCATCCCCAAATATGGCTATGTTTTTTTTTTACATTGCATGATAGACGCGAACACATTCCTGCACATGTAACAGCACAGTCATATCCAGCACAGTCATACCCTGTAAATATGTCATCTAACACATACTTTAATAGACGAAAACTAGGGCATATATTTGATTTCACTAATATTCTGTTGAAAGCTTACATGTATGTGCGTAATATTTGTGAGTAGCTTTAGATATAAGATTTTTTTAGTTGGGTATTTCTATCTCCATGAACCCATGGATTTGGATTGGATCTATGATTATGTTATAAAATTTAGATGAATTGTTTTGTTCATATTTTAAATGAAATCTAAAATTCACTACTACAGTTTAACTAACAAGTTTTAAATCTAACGTGGAATATGCCAAACAGTGACTAAGTTGATTTGTAGAATTTAAATTTTGTCCTAAAATAAGTTGATTTCTCTTTTCTTATAAGCGTTAGGACTAAAGAAGTTAAATCTTTTGAAAACCACTTACCACCAACCATCAATAGTGCTTTTTTGTTTTAATGAAGGATACTTTGATCTTTTCTCTATGCAATGAAAACATGTGAACCTATGAGTTGATTTATTTTGGACAAAGTGAGTGCAATGTAGCTAGGGATCAATATCAGTCACATTAGACCTCCTTGGAAATGCGGGATTTTGAAAACATGAATAAGAAGAATGCAATTTTTTTTACATATTGTAAATTTCTATAGGTGTTAGAGTCGCATGAATTTTGTGAAGAGTCTATTGGATGGCAAGTAGGAAATGCGACAATCGAAGAAAACATGAGAGGAAGAATTTAAGTGTGTTCCAATTTCCACTATATAAGAAGTGACCACTCTTATCGTAAAATAAAATGAAGTGACCCGGAAGAGTCATTTCAATCTTCTTGTTCGGTTAATATGTCAACTCTACTTTTTTATTTATTTCATTATTTTATTTACCACTATAAGAGCCTGTTGGCTCCTAATCTATTTTAGATAAAGTCTTTATACTTTATTTATCTTGCTTCCTCTGTTCACTGTTGCAACTAATTCTAGTGGTATTTCTACAAGTATGTGTGCTTGGGCATCGTTTTTATCTAGGAATACATGATAGAGAATTGGACGAAGTAGTCAGTTGGGTGGTGACTAGACCGGCCATTGTTTAAAGTCGGCAGCGTTAGCAAAGTGAGCATAGCTCAACTGGTTAGGTTCCTTGTGGTGGACCAGCCCACCCGGGTTTAAATCCTAGATTTGATACGGGTGCTCGCATTTACGGCTAATTATTCTTTCAGTGGTAGGCAACGTACCCGTCGACAGCGAGGCGCCTGTGGTGACTTCGTCAATCTCAAGATATGCCAGCCCAGTCTTCCGAAGGTGCTCATAGGGGTAGGGTGTGCGTGTGTGCGTTCATAGGGGTGAGTGTGCGCACGTTGTGAGCGCCTGCGTTTGTACTGTGTTTCTCAAAAAAAAAAAAGTCGGCAACGTTAGCTCTACTTAAGTTGGTGTGTTTTGGCATATTAGCACCCCTTTCTCTTCCCTTTCTTTGGTGGTGCTACTGTACTTGAAGCAAGAAACATAGTATTATGACTTTAGTTAGCTTGTTTAATTAGAAGTAGTAACATGAAACCTAGACCAAAGGATCCTTGTGGATTCGATACAATACTCCCAAGTGAAAGGTACAATGGTTTTTTGTATGCTTGCGGAATATTTCTTTTGGGCATAAATGGTATTTTTGAAGAAGCGCATTTGTGAAATCAACAAAACTCTATAGTTAGTTTCTGATGGTTTAGTTTCATGAGGTTAAGACCAAAATCCTGTAAAGATAAACAATCGATTGGTATATATTAAAAAAACTATGATATCATAGATAGGATTGATTTGTTTAGAGTCCTTCCTTATCTTCTATCTCTGTACTCTATCTATATATACACTGTCCTAGATGATTAATGCAATTAGTCCAATATTCTCTCTCTACTATTGAATGAAAATTGAGGACAGTTTCAGTGAGCAAACAAGTAAAATTTGAAGTTAAGCATAAATGTAACCTATAGTCAGGAATGTTGTCAATGTGCAGTGTACCACTTCATCTCACAACATTTTCTTTACCGTGGTAGAAGTTTTCCTAGTTTTGTAACCTATTTATCTATTGGTTCTTATTTGTCTCTTGGTTTCTTGCTAAATTCTGATGTGCAGGATGAGCTCAAGGAGTAACCAGAAGAGCCTCAATAAATAGCACAGGAACAAGGCTAAATTTTGGTTATGTTGAACCCAATTTGCAAAAGCATGTTTTGATTTAAAACTATATATGCATCGCCATTTGCAAATATGTCGGGTAGAGTTTATTATCCTATTGCTATTTGCATCTTGCCTTCAATTATTGATCTTGTATACCTTGTCAAACAGTAGATGGGTAATATCTATGGGACTACTACTTGAATAAATGCTTAGCCATGCATAGAGAAGACAATGGTATGCAGTTAACGGAAATAGCTGGTTGATTGAGATAGGTGAATGGGAATGAATCATGCTTGGATTGGGAATGGTAATAAACATAAATTATCATACATGATCTGGCTAATTATGGAACTTATTTCGGATGCACGTAGCACCATCTGAGTTGATTAAGGACGGTTGGTTGGGATGTTCGCTCATGTAATACCGTACAACCATGCCTCCCTATTATGGATCGTACTAGACCGAGTAACTTGCAGGGTTGTGGCTATTTACTCCAGTAAACTGGCTGTGGGTTCTTGTGTATTGAGATAAGTGTGATATGGCCATGATTATAAGATGTGAATAATTGGTTGGAAACACCTGTTGTCCGTGGGAGGTACGAAGAAGGTTTATTTGTAGCACAAACATCATGGGTTAAATATGTGCTTTTGAATTCAGTTATGGTTAAATTTGTATTCTATTTAGTATTCTAATTATATATTTTGGACTGCTTGACACATCAGAAAGGATAGCCAATAAAAAACAGTTGGATAATGACCGCAATCATAGTATTCATGTTTATGAAGTTTTGGGCCATGTATCCCATGTATATAGTATGATAGTAGAAAAACCTTGACATGATCAAACAATTCAAACCTAGACTAGGATATTTGTCTGATTGCCTTGAAAATTATACTTTAAATGATTTGCTGCATTAGGATGGATGTTAAATATGGAATTCATATCAATATTATTAGATTTTACTGATTAGTAAAAATTAGTAACCGTGTATGTGCAGCCCAAACTTTTGCAATACATATTTGACTAAAAATAATTACTTGTCTCGAAATACTTTCTCATTTCTATTAGCTGCATGTGTTACAAATTTTGAGCTACTACACTGTTAGTATTTCCTATTTATCGATGTTGCAAGTCAAATGTGAATTAACGTATTTTGAGAAAATGGGAGGCACTTAAAGATGAGTGTATGGGCATTAATCAACCCATGTTATTACTTTGGTGGAAAAGTAAAATAGTCACACACTATTGCTTAACTTTGGTCAATAGAAATATGTAGAAGATAGTAGAAAAATATCTTCTCCCTTCTCTCCTCTTTTTACGGAGAGAAAATAGTGGAAATCTGACAACCCCCCCCCCCCCCCGGGCAAAAAAAAACTACCATTTCAATGATAGCACTATGGCTATCCTTAGAGAAAGAAAAAGAAAAGGCGAGCTATGACCTCCAACGATTTAAATCAAACCAATAGACACGCCAAAAACATATCTACGAGAAAAGAGAAAAACATTTGGCCAATGACACAATCATGTCATTCTTGTTTACAAAGATTTGGGCCATTTATCCATGCATGTGGTATGATCGTGAGAACAGTAATTCAATATTGCACGGTCAATGGAGAAAGGTTTGTAGTTTATTTATGATAAAAGGTTATTCTCTTTTTATTTTGCAAAAACAAGATGATAACTAAAACACATTAATTTTGTTCATTCACTATTACTTTTTTATTTTACTACTACACTAGTATGCAACAATGTGCTTTGAGAAGGTATGAAGCACAAAAATATGTGCATGCACCAAGAATTCAACCCATATTAATACTAATGTTGGCATATAAAAAAGTTATTCACAATTTCCTAATGTTGTTATCAGAATTACGAAGAAGATAGCAAAAAAAACTAGTTCTTCCTTCCTTCTTATGGAGCGCAAACAACGAAAATTTTACCCCATGTCTAGTTTTAGTGGAGGTATTATGGCCATTCAAACAAATAGCTAGATCCAGCAAAAGATGATTTCTCCATTGCTTTGGATCAAACAAATAACTATGTCTGCAGCATGCTTACGGATGAAGAGTTGGACAATGACTTCAACGATGATATTCATATTTATGAAGACTTGGGCCACGTATACCATTTATGTGGTATGGTCGTGAGAGTAGCTAATTCAATATTCAACAATCAGTGGAAAAAGCTTTGTATTTTATTTGATAGATGTTTTTATTTCACTTTTCAAAACCAAGATGATCAAAAACATGTTCATTTTGTTTACTCATAGTTCGCTTTCTTCATTTTAAATCTATTGCCATTTGAGCATGCGCTAATGTGTTTCGAGAAAATGAAAGCCACATAAATTCATGCATATGCCAAGAAATCTCATGTTCCTAGTTATGTGGGCAAACAAAACATTCACTCACTATTCCTCAAAGCAACTCTTTAGAATTGCTAGGAAGATAATAGAAACACATGTTCGATCTTATCTTCTTATGAAGAGCAAATAATGTAAATCTTGCCCCATGTCTAATTTGAGAGGAGGATTTACGGCCAACCCAAAGAGATAGAAAAATAATAGGCGAGTAAGATCTACCAGCAAGCCATATCTCTAACGCTT